CCCCAAAACCCCAAAACCCCAAAACCCCAAAACCCCTAGACAACAGATTACTTAATTATCAGATGAAATTAATTCTTGAATTATAATTGCAATTGATTTAATTTTTTTAGCAATCACACTCAATGGATTAAAATTCATGTATCATCTACTATAGAGTAGTGCAAAGCGTGAATCTTGTCATCAGTTTACCTGATTCTTACTCTAGGCTTGAAATCTTGATGCTTGACTCTCTGAAGATATCCACTTTCATCATCACCATCTCCTTTTTAAGGTCTCTTCCTTTCAATGCTTTAATCTCTCTTGCTGAAATCAAGGCCTGTTACTCTCTTTTCTATCTAAGAGTACTTTTTATCATAAAAGCTGGGTGAGTTTTTTAATTAGTCCTTTGGAATTCCCAATTAAGAGAAAAAATTAGGTCTGGCTGAGCCCTTTTGCAGCGCTATGTTCACTGCCAGTTTAGTATTTTAGGATAATATTTAGGGGAACTTATTAATAGGTTCGAATCTTAGATCATTTAACTTAGGAGTCATACTGTAAATAATATCATCCTTTCTTAGCTATTTACTGAAATCTATTTTTGGTAAATCTTTGAGCAGATCTGTGGTTTTCTAGGTTAATTTCTGGAATTTACTAAGCAAATGATGATCCTTAGAAATGGGGCTAATGTCTCTTGCCTTCTCCCCATATAGGTGTTCTAGCTTTTTCTGATTTTAAATTATTGGACTATTTAGCTAAAGAGAATTAGTGATTGTATGAAACTAGGTGAGCTTCAATTTTTTGGATCTACCCAATGAAGTATTGAATGTCTCATTCAAATTTGGATCTTTCGAAGCATCAGGTGTCATTGGCTTAGAATGAAGTTCAGTGATGGATTTAAATTGAGTGTTTATATCATCTATTTTCCTATTGAACTTAGAGCATTTTAAATCTTTGACCACTTCTTCATCTGATCCAGGAGACCCCTCAAATATTTGTAGCTTTTTCTTTGATGTTTAAATTGGCAAGTTCACAGTATTTTCTAGAATGAAATCATAGTTTGGTTGATAATTGCCAACTGGAGGATGCCCCTATTCAGGGGAAAATGCATTATGTCTAGCATCTCTTGACACTACTCCAAATATAAAGTTGCCTTGACCGATATCTCCATCTACTCTCTTCATACTCTTATTCTTATAAGCTTTTATCTTTTTTGCATCAATACTATTCAATTATGGATATCGTTGAGAATTAGAACCCCCCTCAGTGTCACCAGTTTTATTAATAGATTAAAATCTTCCTCCAGGATGCTGGTAATTTCTACTGCCTCTCTGGTTGTCTTTTTTCTTCTAAGTTTTGTTTAGCAGTTCCTGTCTTTTCCTCTCTTTATCTCTTTTTTTATTTTCCCTAATTTCCTCCTTAAGTGTCTCAGATATAAATCTAGTTTTAAACATAGTCTTAAACTTATTCAGATCGAATTCACCGTTTTAAGCTATAACTTTCTATAGAGTCTGCCTCATGATATCAGTCTCATCTAGTTCTTGTTTCTTAAAGAATGAGGGGTCAATTGGAGGATCCTCCTCTTCAACCGTTGATTTATTTTTCTTCTTAGGTTTCTCTTCAGTTTTTATTTTATCATCATTTTATAAGGGAGGCATGCTATAGTGCATTGAATTAAGAAAATTTTACCTATTTTCAACTACTTATGTCATATTCATTTCAGATCATCATTGAACTAACTCTACTATTTTCTGTCTCTTTGCTTCTGCCTCCAACCTCTATATATTCAAAATTTGGCAATGCTGTTCAACTTACATTGTTGATATTGATGTTGACTACCTCAAATTTCCTATTCTCCTGCTCAAGAAACTTTCTGAAGGTGGTCTAGTTTTTAGCTTTACGAGACAATGGATCAACAATAAAAGGTTGAAGATCTATAGATAAAGTTTAGATTATATCTTGTAGTAATAGGAATAGGGAAGTAGATGTAAAATAGTTGTGTATATACCGAATGACATTAAATTTAATATTTATGATTTATGAGATTATATTTATTGAAATTAAATTATGTCTTTTAGATTCTCACGTGCCATTTAATGTTAAAATGAATCTCAGTATAAGACATTGTATTGAGCGTGAGTAAATTTCGAGTTAAATCACCCACTAATGCTCGCTTCAATCGCTTGAAGGGAGTTACTTATTGCTCAAAGGAAGAATGGAAGCTTGTGAAGGTCAATATTTGAGGGAATATTGCCGATTTCACTTCTGTAGATAGCTATCTTGTCAGCTAGCATGCATGGTGCAGGGATTTTAATAGAATCAGGCCAGTTGTAGTAGTTGAAGCATAGAGCGTAGGTAAAATTAAGGATGGCATCTTTGGAGATTCTAGAGGAATTCTCAGCCACGTAGAAATGTGTTGGCTTCACTGCTCCTTAAGTGACATTGTGAGGGACCAAGAAAAAGTCGAACTTCCCATCGATCACCTCAGATTACTCAACGAAACCTTAATCAACATAGGTTCCTGGAGGAGGGTTCAAAATTTGACCCCCAGTCTTTTCGAAGAATCTTTGACGCACTCTCTTGTTGACAATAATAAGAGTTATCTGTGGTAGTACCTTGTCGCTGTCTGAACCGTACTCGTCAGTGCATATTTTCTTGAGCTGTTCTAGCTCGAAATCAATAACTTACTTTCTCATAGAGTCGCCGACTCCATCTCTGTAGATAAAAATGTGATCAGGCAATTCACCTTTATTGTAGTCTCTATAGGCTTGGAACGCACTTGTGAAGTATTCCTATAGAATATTGGATGAAATAATTTCCTGACCCTTTTGTCCCTAGGGACTTGCTTGTGTATAGTATTTACACAAGAATGGATCGTATGTAGCCACAAATCCAATAATACTTTATTTTCCTTTGTGACAGACATCGATTCCAACTAACATAGTTTTCTTGGATATCTCTTTGCCAAAACTCATTCTCCATAAGTCTCCGCCGAGTTTAGCATTGATTTATCTGACGATGTTCATGTAGATTCTATCATTGTCCTTCTCAATGATTTTACTAGTTACGAACTAGGAAATGACTGGGTTGTCATAATTGATTTTATTCTTAAGAGCAGTGTAGAAATGTTCTTATCTTAGTGTGTCTGGTATAATTACCAAGAAAAATTGGACCTAGGGAGTTCCGCCGGCAGGTGTAGGAACCTTTTTCTTTCCCTTGGCTGGTGAATCTTAAGAGACGTACTCTTTGAAATAGGAGTTGATTGCTGCTTTGAAGTCGTCGATTCTTGACTTGTTATGAAGGGAGACTATATCTCCGAAATCAACAAAGATGTTGAGATTATTCTTTTCTGATAAATTGTAGAACTTGTCCTGTAGATACTTAGCGTTCTCTACATCTTTCTCTAAGCAGAATATCGCCCACTTTTAGAAATTAATTGGTTAATGAACTATTTGTCTTAGAATATTAGTGTCATCGAGTGATTTCAGAGCAGTGCCCTGAGTGCCAAAGCAAATATTTGGTCTTTTAAGTATTTTAGCTTCAATTTCATCGGGCTCGAGCTGTATATTAAGGTCCCATTCGCGCACTTCTTAGGATCTGGCAATCATCTTGTTCACCTCCTTGATGCTTGCTATTCTGTCTGATGGCTTTTAAAACAGACTCTAACGGATATCTGCCATGATTCTTTTATTTTCTGCAATCTTTGGTGGGATACCGACTAAGATGCAGAGTTCTGGAGGCAAATAAATGTTTTATCTCTTTTGTTTTACTTCAAAAAGTGGTTGCTTTAGTTGTGTGATCTTGGTCTCGTAGGCTTTGAGGAAGTAACTCAACATGGAAACCTTTTTGTTGTCATCTCCCTGATCGAAAAAGTAGGCCTCTGGAGACATGTCCCATCTGATAGCGTGAACCTTGTAGGTTCTCTTTTGCCCATAATTTGCCATGACTATTGCCCCATCGAATTCCCGACTGACTTGATTTTTATCTAGTCTTTGTAATCTCTCTTAAATAATTGCGAAACAATTATCAACTGAGAGGAACTTTGAGATATTATCTATTATTAAATATAGGCCTCTCTAAAAGATCCAAGATGAGGTGAAGAAACCTGGCCAAGTCATCACAGTATCGTTGAATGTTTTTGCCTACTCTGGCATGAAAAAGCGTGGGTTCCTGCCTATCTATGTCAACTTCGAATTTCTTAGACAGCTCTTGATGATACTATTTATGAAGCTAAGTGCGAATGGATGCTCTGTCATCTTCAAACGATTTAGATCGTCTAGAAGAAATTCAGAAACTCTCTCTATAATTATTGTGTAGTAGCGATTGTAGAAAGGTTTTTAGGTTTCCAAAGTTAGTTGTTAGTCAATCAGTTCGGTAGAGAACAAGTTGTTTCCTACAAAGACATATTAAGTGAAGATTTTTTTGATTTGATCTTTGTGTGCATTCATAATCTTGAACTTTTGGAAAGTCTCGAGACCAGCTTTGTTGCCGATACCCAAAGACAATGAAGACATGCTTGTGTTGAGTTGGTCATCACTCATGAAACTTGGATTATCGACTCCTCCTGAACCGCCACCGCCAGACCCAGACCCCTCAAGAAAGTCAACTTTATATGTATAAATAACCCCGTGATTCTAGCTTTTGATTTTGAAGTTGTTAGTAATGAGGTTGACCTGGGTTCTGACAGGAGCTGCGACACCTGACTTTTAGGGGGAGTTGAATTTTCCTGGCTTCTTAGAGTGACCACCACCCCAGTTTGGATTCTTCCTATGATCCATCCTTTTCCTCTCAATAGAATTTATTATTCAAAGATACTAGAAGAGCACCCTATAATTTAATTTTTAAAAAGCTTAAACTGGTTGATTTCTTATATATATAACTTTTAAATTTTAATGGATTCTCACTAGCAATCGCTTTCGCATTCCTAATTCACCTCTTCTCCCACTCACTCATCGAAACATCCATCCTATCAGGAGCTTAAGAATTAATACTCCACTCTCTTAGGAGGCATCAAGATGGAATCAGATCAACTCATTGAAAATCTAAAAATATCACTAAGAGAAATTGGCCTTGAGAAATTTCAAATACAAGATTTGCAGTCGGAGAGATCTTGTGAATTCCTTACAAAACTGGCCAACTTATTGTTTAAGACTCCAGCTAAGGTGGTATAATAGCTGTTCAAAGACTTGGACATAGCCAAAGACCTGCAGATACTTCTAGGGAAGGTATTTAAAGAGGTACTTAAGATCGGAGATGACTTTTTGTCTCAAGTAGAGGTGAAAGTTCAGCAATCAGATTAAAATGAACTTGGGGCTAATCTGATGAGGAAAGTCACCTACAACTGTCTGCAATTCATTTCAATCTTTGGACATCTTTTGGATTACTTGGTTTATGACTCTTATAAACTAGAGAATGCCTTGGAAACCTTCAGCAAGAGCAAGTCACTCATGAAGCTAGTGCTATCTCTGATGCTGGAAGCATAGAAAATACAGACTATCCAAAGACAATTGTTATACCTTTTCCCAAGTAGTAAGCGAAGCCAATCTAGGGACGATGACAGCAGGATCATCCTGAACTATGCTAAGGTGCTGTTTAACTTGATCATCAATCCGAATAACATATTCAAGTAGCAGTTCGTGGAGGAGCAGGGTATCTACATAATCAAGAAAATACTCAAGAAATCATATATGGAATCAGAACTAGAGATATACTTCTACTGTCTTGGCATAATCCCACCCATCATTATCACTTACCCATCCCAGGCTCAGTAATTCCTAGATAATGCCTATATGGATTTGCTGCAGGAGTAGTTGATTGGATTTTACGAGGATACTTAGTATCTCCACATTGCCTCACCACTACTGCTTGCAATTAAAGCTTTGGTGTCCAAAAGCAATCAGCTTAAAGAGGAATTCATGAAAAGCACTTAAAGTCTTGAAGTTATATTTGAGATAGCAGCAGACTCTTACGGTCAGCCAAGTCTGAAGAACATATACATATCCTCGGTTATCTTGCTTTGCGAGTGTGGCTTTGAGGCTTTTGCCTAAAGTGTAGTTCCAGTAAAGATTCAAGCACTGCAATAGAGATATGGCTAAGACTCAGGTGAGGCTGGAGCTGACATCAAACTCAAAGAACAAATGAACAGACTAAATGAGAAGATTGAAAAGTTCAAGGTGTACCAGAGAGACTACAACGTGCATGACTAAGCATTGAAGAATCTCAGAAATAACATATTCGATGACGATTAACTAGAGAAAGCACTCCAAGATCTTAATAAAATTTGGACTAAGAGTTTGATTACAAGAAGTTTTTTCATTACGAATTATGGTAACTTAGACTAGCTGATGCAGTGTTTGAAAAACCTGGACGAGTCAGTGATGCTGAATTCTTGCAAGTGCTTGATAACTATCTTAAGCAAGGAAGAGGGAGCTTAGGATCTGTTTCTCAGACATAGAGGCATCCAGATACTTAAGAACTGCCTTCAAGACTACAAGTACTTTATTATTACTTAATCTTATCTCAATCATTTATAGCATTGATATCAAGAAATGTTCACTGAGTATAATGTGCAACCTAGTGCTGCTGAAAGAAGAGGTTAAGTTTGAGATATTCGATAATGGCGTGATTGAGCTGTGTATCCATAACATTGATAAGTACCCAGAGGATGATATTGATGCTGAAACGCTTTGCCTGTCTCTAAATCTTGTTTCTCAAGTGGTAAGTTCCATTTCATAATAGTCTGATAGGTTTTGAAACAGCCAAAGATATAAGAGCACATTATTGCCAAGAGTGGATTGAATAAGATAGTAATGCAGCTAAAGATACTCCTTGATCAGTTCTAACGAAAGTAAGAGCAGAATATTAAGGTCTAGCTAGAGATCTTTGATAAAATCTGCCTAGCAATCATAAATATAGTCTATGGTAACAAACAGACTCAAGACCTGCTTCGATCTGAGCTTTAGATCTTCAACCCTCTGATTAATTTTCTTACCAAATCAGTTGAGAACCTAGGTTAATCCCCTATATATAACCAGGACTCTATTTACAACATTCTTAACTTGCTTGTTAATGCCATTGACACCAATAAAACTACATAGGAATATCTGATTAAGACTTTCAAATGCTACGATATAATGAAAGCATTACTTACCCAGAACTCTTCACTCAGAATAAATGGACTATCAGCCTTGCTGTTATCTCATCTGGTGTGGACTAATGTAGATGGGCAGGCTATATTCTCAACTAGAGAGATCCTTAAAAGACTTATATTCCTAATGGACTTCAATCAGTTGATAAATGAAGGTGAAGCCGAGGCACCGATTGAGAGTTTAATGGAAGTTTCCTTTTACGCACTGCTATCACTTATCAATTTGTCTCATGAAAATCTAATATGTCAGTAGCTTGTCAACAAAATGGGAGGACTGTCAGTAATCCTCAAACAGCTTAAGAGCCCATCATTTGATCCTAAGAAAACAGCCTGCTTTTGTCTAGGTAATCTAATCTAAAACAACCAAGAAAATGTGAATGAGCTGCTTAAGTTAGATGGGGTGAGTGTCTTAGTCAATCTTATCAATGACGAAGAGGACGATGATCTTTCAAACAAGTCTTATCAAGTAAGTAAATAATATTATAAAATATGTTTATAGTGTTTGGAGTACATGGGGTCATAAGCAGTAATTGAACTAGCTAAGCAAACAAAGACGATAGTAGAAAAAAGAGAAAAAATGTGGAGATATGGAAACTGCATCATGCTAGATGTGTTTAACAACAGAGAGAGACATGTATTTTTGAAAGCCTTGACAGAAAGCGAAACTTTACCTAGCTTAAGAGAGTTTGGACCCTAAGACTAAGATGATATAATCGACCTTAAATGTATGTCGCACCATTTATTGTTTTTTAATAAAATATAGCTTTGGAGAAACTGGAAAAGATTCTGCCAGTTCTAAATGGTCTTGTTTATCTAAAGTCAGGTAAGATTAATCATCTTTATATTGAGTATCGTTTAGAGAACAGAGAGGCTTTACAGAAAGATGTGGGCTTGTTGAAGAACCTCTTTGATATTTTCAAGTATTAACTACCCATTGAAATACACGAGAATGCTCTCTATGCCCTTCTTAACATTATAATTGAATCTCCCAAGCAACTGAAAGAGCAGATGATTAACTCTGGGTTCTTCACAAGTTTGATATGCTTTATCGAAGACCTGCATTAGCTTGAATTCTAGATTCTAAGATCTGCATAGAAGTTTATTATATGTGACTATGGGATTAAAGTAAACTATCAGGAAGAAGAGGCTTTGCAAAAAGAGGAGAAGACGATAGAAGAGATACAACCTACAGTATTTGAAGCCAAATTATACGAGTACTACAATACTACTGAGAAGATGTTCTATATTGATCTATCTAAAAACGATGGCTCTAAGAGATTAGTAGAAGGTAGGCAATTCTAGGGATTAGGGTTGAAGAAATCTGAGGTAATTAAGCATCTTGAAGACTTAAGGGCTCTTGGCTACTCTATTATCAATAATGTCGTCATTGGAAATGCCAAGTTGGCTTTTAACCTTGTGAAGTTAATATTCAAGAATCTGCCTAGATTAGTTATGAAGGATGTAATGATACTGCCAAATGTTTTAGAAAAAGCTCAGCAGACAAACACTAGCATTGAAGTGCTTGATTATAGTGAAAATCTGTGGGATGAGAGTCTAGACTTATTGCTCAATCTCATCAATATTAAGCAAGTATATGAGGTATTTAGAGAAGTAGGAGGAATGGATATAGAATATCTAGAAAACCTAAGGACTTAGTGTGAATAGTACCAGCTGGAAAGTAACCAGAGTGCACAGTAGAAGAGTAAAACTATTATCGGCAAAATTACTCAAGTTATTAATGATATTAAGTAGATTAATTGATTAATTTCATCATTACTATTTCGCTCTATAACTCTCTCATGGGGTTTTGGGGTTTTGGGGTTTTGGGGTTTTGGGG